CTGCAGGGAAGAAAGGTATACCCCCCAGAAGGGGTTCGATCGAATACGGAGAGGGCGGGTATCGAGGGTTTGGGAAATACGCGTTATTGGACACTCGAGCATATAAAGGGCGAACAGTCTTAAACTGATTGTTGTTGTTGTTGTTGTTGTTGTTGTTGTTGTTGTTGTTGCTGCTGCTGCTGTGTGCTGTTGTTGTTGTTGTTGTTGTTTTGTTGTTGTTGTTATTGTTGTTGTTGTTGTTGTTGTTGTTGTTGTTGTTGTTGTTGTTGTTGTTGTTGTTGTTGTTGTTGTTGTTGTTGTTGTTGTTGTTGTTGTTGTTGTTGTTGTTGTTGTTGTTGTTGTTGTTGTTGTTGTTGTTGTTGTTGTTGTTGTTGAGAGTTGGCGCAGCGCGCCCCTGAAAAAGTGCTGACGCTCTGACGCTTTTGACGCTCCTGACGCTCTTGACGCTCTGGTGCTCCTGACGCTCCTGACGCTCCAGGCGTCAGAGCGTCAGGAGCGTCAGGGGAATCAGGGGCGTCAGGGACGTCAGGATCGTCAGAGCGTCAAGACCGCCAGGAGCGTCAAGAGCGTCAGGGGCGTCAGGAGCGTCAGGGGCGTCAGGAGCGTCAGGGAGCGTCAGGGAGCGTCAGGGAGCGTATGGGGCGCCGGGGGGCGTAAGGAGCGTCAGGAGCATCAGAGCGTCAGGGGCGTCAGGAGCGTCAGGAGCGTCAGGGGCGTCAGGAGCGTGAGAGCGTCAGGAGCGTCAAGGGCGTCAGGGGCGTCCACCACTCCGGCGCCGCCGCTCGAGACGTCCTCACACTTCTGGCGCCGCCGCTGGTGACATCCTCACAATTTCTCTGGCGCCGCCGCTCGAGACATCCTCACAATTTCGGCGCCGCCGCTCGAGACATCCTCACAACTCCGGCGCCGCCGCTCGAGACATCCTCACAATTTCGGCGCCGCCGCTCGAGACATCCTCACAACTCCGGCGCCGCCGCTCGAGACATCCTCACAATCCGGCGCCGCCGCTGAGACATCCTCACAACTCCAGCGCCGCCGCTCGAGAGACATCCTCACAACTCCGGCGCCGCCGCTCGAGCGTCAGGAGCGTCAAGGACGTCAGGAGCGTCAGGAGCGTCAAGGACGTCAGGAGCGTCAGAGCGCCAGGAGCGTCAGAGCGTCAGAAGCGTCAGGGGCGTCAGGGGCGTCCACCACTCCGGCGCCGCCTCTCGAGACACCCTCACAACTCCGGCGCCGCCGCTGGAAACATCCTCACAACTCCAGCGCCGCCGCTCGAGAGACATCCTCACAACTCCGGCGCCGCCGCTCGAGCGTCAGGAGCGTCAAGGACGTCAGGAGCGTCAGGGGCGTCAGGAGCGTCAGGAGCGTCAGAGCGTCAGGAGCGTCAGAGCGTCAGAAGCGTCAAGGGCGTCAGGGGCGTCCACCACTCCGGCGCCGCCGCTCGAGACACCCTCACAATTCCGGCGCCGCCGCTGGAAACATCCTCACAACTCCAGCGTCGCCGCTCGAGAGACATCCTCACAACTCCGGCGCCGCCGCTCGAGCGTCAGGAGCGTCAAGGACGTCAGGAGCGTCAGGGGCGTCAGGAGTGTCAGGAGCGTCAGAGCGTCAGGAGCGTCAGAGCGTCAGGAGCGTCAGGGGCGTCAGGGGCGTCCACAACTCTGGCGCTGCCGTTCGAGACATCCTCGCAACTCCGGCGCCGCCGCTCGAGTCATCCTCACAACTCCAGCGCCGCCGCTCGAAACGTCCTCACAACTCGGGCGCCGCCGCTAGAGACATCCTCACAAATCCGGCGCCACCGCTCGAGAGGGATGGGGGGATGGAGGGAGCTGGATGGAAGGAGTGAGGAGGAGAAGAAGGGGGATTGGGGAGGAGGACGAAGGGTAAGAAACGGATGGGGACACTTTTAGCCCAAACTCTCGATCGACACATTTGGCAAGTTAATTGTGACGCGACTTGTATCAGAGCAGGTCGTGGGGATGTCCCGTACGACCCGCTCGATTGGCATCCCCGACTCCTCTGCATTCAGAGCACCGCTCGGTGGCCCTCGTCGTTACGGCTGGATTCGCTTTTAGTTTACACCACATAGCTTTACCCCGGTGGACATAGCTTACACCACGGTGGGCGCGGCCCTTGGCGGGCAATATCTGGTCCTATTGGCTGACATCGGGTGCTATTTACTGCCGACGGCTCCCGGCGGCTACACTCGGCTAATATGCGAGACTGCAAGCTCACATCAGAACTACCCGAGTGTTAAACCCAAGGTGAAGAGGGGGCAGAAATAAGGAGCATCCTCACCTATCCTCATCTTCTTCCTCCGGTTTTCCTGCTCACGCCATTCCCTATCCCGTTACTCATTATTCTCATGCTGCTTTACGTGTTCCACCTAGCCCTCCTCGTCCTTTCCCCTGCTGCTTTTCATCATCGCCCTTTTCGGATATTCCTCCTCGTGCTGCTCCTCGTCCTCACCTCCTCGGTATAATTATCCTCGTCCTTCCCTCCTCTTGCTTCTCATGCTGTCTTCCGCATCTCTTCACACCCCTATCGTTTTACTCGTGTTGCTCTTTTCCCTTTGTCTCCTACTTGTCCTCCTCTCTGAAGCAGTGGCTCAAAAGGAATCGCTCTCGGTGCGAGGGCGCTGCAGATTGTCCGCGTTACACCACGTGCCGTGCCGAGGACGGACGCCCCGCATGTTCAGAGCACGGCAGGGTGTCAGGACGGGGCCGATGGGACCGCCAGGCTGAGGCCCCAGCGTCTGCCCCCCGAGCGTCCCCACCAGAACCAACAGGTCCGCCAGCGGGCGTGGAAGCCACGTCGGATTCGGATTGTTCCGATGTTGACAGCGAGCAAGACCAGGAACATGATGAGGACACCCGGGGGCCTACGTCATGGACGGGCATATCCTACCAAGGAGACGGCAGTGATAAGTATTTGGCAGGAACGGACGTGATGTCCGAAAACCTTAGCAACGCTTCTGACCAGATCGCTGTCCGCATGGGCTTCACCAACAAGCCTTTGTTCGGCGCGTTCTTCTACTTCTACTGCCTGTTAGCCGTGGTCCAGCCGGACGCGTTGGCCCCAAAGGAAGCCCGGGATCGCGTGGAGTTTGGGCTAGAGTACGCCCCGTCGCTGCATCGAGCTACTGAGTCGCACGCGCCCTTGTTAGGTAGGCAGCCTCGCCTGGACGCGGCGCTCAGGTCGCACGCGCGTTTTGCGGTCAGCATCTATCGACGCATTTTCCGTTCGGCGCCAGCTGGGGCTCGCTTGGCTCCGCGGCCGGCGTGCGATTGCACGCTTCGATGCACGGGGACTGCCAAATTCATCGAGGATACGGCGACGCGGGATCCCGGCGCTGCTCTTCGGCATTTCTGCGACGGTGTCACACGGGCCACGAGCGAGGCGGTTGCTGATGTTCTCCGCGCATCTGCCCTCAGCAAATTGCATCTGATGTCGTCTGTCACTGGGTGGTTCGACGGGCGCGACGGCAGGCGGCGCACGTACCCACGCAGCGTCGGCTTTCCGATTGTTTGCACTTCCTGGATCATGGACCACCTGTTGCGCGCTCTGCCGAGATGGACAACTTCCTGCCTCGTCATCGGGGGCCGGCTGAGCAGTTTAATCAGAGTCGCGAAGATGGCGCGGGCTGGCGAGGACGACCCCGGGCCGGCGAAGCAGGCCTTCGCAGTGACGGAAGCGCTCAGGCTCAGTTTGCTCACGCTGGACTTACTGGGCCGCCCCACCGCGTCACCGTCGCTGCCGTTTGCGCCCAGGGTGCGCTGCTACCCGCTGAAGTTCATGCTCTCGGACGTCTTATTGTAAATCGGGCGCGCCGCGCGCAGCCGCGCGGGCAGGCCCGCCGACGACGGCGACGACGGCCGCATCAGGGGGCGAAGCCCGCCGGTGAGATGCCGCTGCCCCGAATGCGCGCTTCTCTTCCGCATCCGGTGCGAGTGCCTCTTCGCGGGGCCAGCCCCGCGGGCGGTCCTCGCCGCGGCCCAGGGCATGCCCGACGGTCCCCCCTTGCCGCGGAGACGGCGCCGCCGAAGCTCCAGCAGCTCAACGAGTGCATCAATTAACGCTTCGGCAGCTCCCTCTGCTTGCATCGAGCGGCCATCGGCCAATCCCGCCGCCGCGACCGGGCTGCGGGCCCCAGGCCCCCGGGGCGGGCGACGCGACCGTAGCGGCGCCAACGGTGCTATGGCGGCGCTCTGCACATCGCCGACAATCCCGTTAGCGGATCGCCGCTACCGGGCGCGAAGCAAGGCGGATCGCATGGTGCAAGCCGCTTAGCGGAGCGGCGCTCCGTTAATGGGGGCGAAGCAACCTGGGTCGCGTCGTTCGAGGCTGACTGGCGCGGGGGCGCTCCGCTAACGGGGGCGAAGCAATATGGGTCGCATCTTCGGAGGCCAGCGAGCGCGGCGGTGCTCCGCAAAGGAAAGCCCAGGAGCACGCAGCATTGTTTCGTGGACTTCTTGAAGATTCCCCAGGGTCGAGGGCCGGGGGCCGCGAGGGTCCGGTGAACGCGCCTGTTCGCGCCTCTGGGCGCGGTGGCGGATGTTTCACAGCGCCCGCCTTGCACGTGGCGGTTGTTCCTGACGCACGCGCGGTCCAAATCTAAGGTGCCGCCAGATGCGCTCGCGGACTACGAGTGGAGGTCGAGGTGCCGCGCGCTCGCAGAGGCCGCGATGCCGGCCGAGGCAGCGCTCATGACCAACATGTTCGCTGGCTGGCGCAGCGCGGCCTCCGCCGCCGCGGCTTGGAAAAAGGCCCACTTGGAAGGATTTTGCGCGGGGGGCGCGGCGCGGGGCCTGCCCGGGCGCGGCCGCTGCCGCCGCCGCCGGACCCGCCCGCGGGCCAAGCCGCTCGGCCGAAGCGGGGGTCGAGAGCACCGGCGCACCCGCGCAGAACGCGGGCGCCTCGGGCGACCCTGGCAGAGCTCGGCCCGCTCGACACACCCGCGCTGGACGCTGCGCTGGCCCGGCGGGGCTCCGCCCGCTCAGGCGCTGACGCGCGGGCAGACAAACGGGCGCGCCTGGCGCTGCGCTTGCGCGCGGGGCACGCGCAGGGCACGCTGGCCCGACTGCTCCAATGTGGACTTGTCAGCGGCGACGGCGGCCCGGCCGAGACGCGGGCCCCGCGGGCAGGGCTCGCTGGCAAACTTCGGGGCGAGGAGGTGGTCGTCCTCGACGCCTTCGCGCGCCGCGGCCGTCTTCGGTGCGACGTGGCACCCGTAGTCCAAGGCTCTGGGAAGGGCGCCGCTGGCGGCGCGCACGTGCTCAAGACGGGTTTGCGGCGTGGTTTGACCACGCGTGCTGGCTCTGATCTCGCGGACGCGCTCGGTGGCGCTGCGCGCCGATCGTCCGCGGGGCCCCCTGGATGGCGCGCGCGCCCGAGAGCGCGCGCGACCCCTGCGGCGCCCGGCCTCGCGCTCTCGTGGAATACGCGCAGATGTTGCAGTCCTTCCGCCACGCCCTCGCCGGCGCGAACGCCGCGGCGCCCGCGCGCCAGCGGCCCGCGGCGCCGGCCCTCGTGATCCCGGAATCCGCAGACGATCACGCCCGGCAATTCCGGCACAGGGTCGCGCGCCAGCAGGGGGAAGCCGCGCTGCAGCCGAGCGAGGAATGCAGGCGCGGGAGCTACGTTTGAGACTTCCGGTGGCCGGCGCAGCTGGATCGCCAGGGGTGGGCATGCTTCACGCGCAGGGCTGTCCGCGAGTTGCCCGCAGGCGTCGCGCAGCGGGCGCGGCGACGACGTCGGGCATCCACGCTATTTCCCAGTGACCGAAACGGACGTGGTGCGCGTCGCCCTTGACGCGATCGTCATCCGCGGCAACGCGGCGGAGGGCGGGCAGAAGGAGGGCCGCTGTTACGTGACTGGGAGGTTCCTGGCGAGATTCCTCTCCTGCCTGAATGACACGCTGAACTTCCGCGAATGCCGTCGGCAGCTGATCGGGGAGTACGTCGCCGCCGCGCGCGGCGCGGAGGCGGGCTTGAGCGATGGCGACGCGCGGGCCGCCCTCTTCAACATCGCTTTCGCCCTTCCCAGGCGCAAGATGTTGGGCGCGATCGCCCTGCGCGCCTTCTCCGCCCCGATTTCGCGGAGAGTGTCTGAGATGCGGCGCCTGCAGAGTCCCCGCAACGGCTCCGGGCTGCGCGTGGGCGGCAATTTCAAGCCGGCGAAGAAGATTTGGAGAGGTGCCGGCAAGGCCCGCCAGAAGCCCTTCATTTGCGTGCTCGGCATCTGCGGGGCGGACGGATCGCCCCCGCTGCCTGTCGCCCCCGTCCGCGGGGAGGCCTCGGTGGACATCGAGCGCGCGCTGCAGCCTCGGCTCGCGGACATCGTCTCCGCTCGCCAGGCCGCCGGCATGTCCTTGGAGGACGCGTGCCCTGCGTTCGTCAGCACCGACTCCTACAACAAGCACTTGAAGAAGTACGCCGACGCGGTGGACGAGGCGTGCCAGCTTGCCCGGGTGCGGACGGCTGGCGCTACTCCGCGCGGCCCAGTCGCCGCGCGCGGCATAGTCGCGCCGTCCGTCGGCGTGCTCGTGGCGGGCGAGACGACGTCCTCAGCTCGAGGAGGCGCGTGAACCCGCAGGCGAAGGACAGTTCGGATCCAGTTGGCTTCGCCGCGTCCGCCGCCCCTGGATCTCGGCTGGCCCATCGAACTGCCGGGTGCCAGAGCCCAGCCAGCACCGGTTGATTTGTTCGGTTTCCCCCGCAGGGGCGACGGGGCATGACGCGAAGAGGGGCGCGCCCGCGCGCCTTGACGGGCGCGGAGAGCGACGGCCCCGGCGGATTTCTGTCACGACCGCGCTGATCTGATCGGCCGGCTGAACGCGCCCCGCGGCCCACCCGAGGACGAGCCGCAAGGCGCGCCCCCCTCGCCGGCGCGTGGAGAGCGCGGGCGCGACCTCCTGCGGACCGCCGCGGCTCAGTCTGCCGCGTCATTCCAGGACGCGCTCGCGAAGGATCCGGACGGCGCGCGCGACTTGCGCGCGTTTCTCTCGTCGCCAGGGGATCTCCGCGCGAAAGGCGTCTGGAAGAGCGCGTTCGGCGCGCGGCCGCCGCGCCCCGTGCTCGCGCGGGTTGCGCGTCGAGCAGGGGCCCAGCTCGACGCCGCGCTCGGGTGGCATCTCGCGGCCTTCGGCCCGCCCCGCCGCCGCTCTCGGGTCGCGCGCGAGACCCTCCTAGAGCACGCGGGAAATGTTTCGGGGGCCTTCTCGGGGGCACCATGGCAGCTTTCCGGGAGATGCTGGAAATCTCGCTAGAGCGATTGACCACGCGCCACGTCGCGCCCTGGGGCGCGGCGGCGGATAATTCCAGGAGCCGCGCGGCCTTCAGGCGGGAAGTTAAGCGAGTGCGACGGTGGCGCAGCAGCCCCGAGCGCCTGGCGCGCCGCCGCCGCGGCATCCTGAGAGTCGGCCCAGCCTGTGCCCGGGAGGTGCGCGGCCGCAGATGCGTCTTCAAGTCGAAGCTGCGGCGGCATTACAGCCGCCTTCTCAAGTCGCGACACTTGTGCGGCTTGCTTGCGTGGCAAGAGTGCGCTGAGGGCTTGCGGGCCGCCGGCGTGGGCCCTCGATCCGGCGCCGTCTCAGTCGAACAGTCTTGGGCCATCATTGCTTCGCACTGGCCATCCGAAACTAAGACCGTAGGAGAGAAAGTTTGCAAGTTTTTTCGCAGACTGTAGACTTGACATTCCTACGGTTTTGCACATGCACTGACACAGTTCTGCGTTGCCCGCGCAGGTCGACGATGACATCATGTATTTCCAGAAAAGCGAACTTGCCCGTCTCATGATCGAGCCCGAGACAGCTCTGCGGCTGGGCAGCAGGTCGGCGCAATGCCATTTTCATTCGTAGCAGGGGCGACGGCGACACTGCCCTGCCTCCCGTGGTTGGGCCAGCCGCTAATTATTGCATTGCCGTCGGCCCATCCCACCACCGCGCTTGGGTTCGTGGTCATGGGCTTTTTGGATTTTCGTCGAGATGTCGCGGGAGACCTCTCGAAAACATCTTGGAGGCAGTCGCGATGTATTTTGGGGGTCGTCCCGAGGCTTCCAGGGTAGCTCGGGGGCTCCTCGCGGGGGTGGGAGGGGGGGGGTTCTTGAGTGGGGGGCTCTGGGGGCCTCCCAGTGGCATGTTGGGGCGGCAGGCTCGAGCTGTTGGTTCGGGCTCAACCCCGGGAAGCACGCGACAAGGACTAAAGCTTGGGGCATTAGGCAGGGGACCTGGGGGCATTCCAACTTGAGCCTCAGAGCGCGGTGGCGGATTCAACCACCCTGTTCGTCTTCCTCTCCTCCACTCCTCCTCGCCCATCGGCCGCCGCGTCAGCGATCTACGTGCCAGTCTATGGAAAACGCACCCGTCATCTGAAGTTTGCCAAGACCCCCCCTATCGACTTCCTTCTCCCCCTCGTTCTGCCGCCCGCGCTCGGGGAGAGCAGGATGGGGCAGGGGTGCAAAGGCGATGAGGGAGAGGAGAAACACGAGAAGGAACGTGTGGAGGAGGAATATGCCTCGCGCGGGCAGGCGATATCGCGTTGCGTCTTCCCCACCTCGGCGTGTTGGAGGTCCTTTTGGTTTGCCCGTTTCTGGCGGCCCTGGGGCCCGACGACGGCCCCCTAGTGGCCGAAATCTTGCCGGAAACGTCGTCGTCGTTTCCGCCGCTGCCGCCGCCGCTTCCGCCGTCGTCGTCGTCGTCGCCCAATCATCGTCGTCGTCGCCGTCGCTCCCATCGCCGTCGCTGCCGTCGCTGCCGCCGTCGTCCACCGTCGTCGTCCGTCGCCGTCGATCGTCGTCGTCGCGGCGTTCGGTTTTCGGCCCCTGGGAGCCCCTTTCGGGCCCCAGTGCCCTCGGAATCAGATCTGGCATGCAAAATTGACACGAGGGAAACCCCCGGGGATGACGCCGTCGTCGGCGTCGTCGTCGTCTTCGTCTTCGTCCTCGTTCGTCCTCGTCCGTCGTCGTCGTCGTCGTCGTCCGTCGTTGTCGCGGGCCGTCCTTGTCCTCGTCGTCGCCGTCGTCCGTCCATCGTCGACTTCGTCGTCGTCGATCGTCGTCGGAGGTTTTTTTGGTTTTCGAGGGTATTCGGAAGTCTTTGGCGGTCATAGGAAGTCTTCGAAGGTTCTCGGAAGCTTTCGGAAGTTCCGTCGAAAGTTCTCGAATCCTCGAGGGCTCTCGGAGATCCTTGGAGGCCCCCGGGAGCCTTCGGAGGTCCTCAGAGGTCCTCGTCGGCGCCGCCGCCGCCGAAGACGTCGCTGCCGCCGCCGCCGCCGCCGTCGTCGTCGTCGTAATATGTCGTCGATTTTTCGTCGATCCCTGACCTTCAAGGATTTTTGCTCGTTTCAGGCCTGTGGGGGCCGCTTTCGGGGCACGGGGCCGTCAAAAACGGATCCAGGACGAAACACTACCCCGGGTTGTCGTCGTCGTCGTCGTCGTCACGCAACTCCTCCCCGTCCTCCCCTTCCGTCAAGTTTCGAGGGTCGAGACTTGTCCAAATCTTTCGCCCCCCCTTTCCGCGCCCTGGGACGCCCTCGCCGCCGCGGCTGGAGAGCGCCTCTAGTCTGGCCAGAGCGCGCCCTTCGAAAGGTCCACGGGCCGACTTTCCAGGGAGGCTCGAGGCTCAAGGCTCGAGGTCCGGAAGTCGAGGATCGACATTTCTCGTCGTCATCGGCCCCCGGAGGCCGTTCCCTGGCCCGGGGTCAGCTGCGGTGGAGGAACAAGCGGTCGCAAGAGGAGCCTCGGCCACAGGAGACCTTCCACAATAAGCTCGGCCCTGAAACCCGGGGATTCCCGTCGATCTGTAGCGTGGGAGCTTTGGCTTCTCACTGCAAAATGACATGGTGGCGCAGCGGTGGCCCCCAAAGCGCGCGGTGGCTCCCGAGTTGTAAGGATGTCTCGAGCGGCGGCGCCGGAGTTGTGAGAATGCCTCGAACGGCGGCGCCGGAATTGTGAGGATGCCTCGAGCGGCGGCGCTGGAGTTGTGAGGATGTCTCGAGCGGCGGCGCCGGACGTTCCTGGCGCTCCTGACGCTCTGACGACCCTGACGTCCCTGACGCTCCTGACGCTCCTGACGCTACTGACGCTCCTGACGTTTTTGGCGCTCCTGACGCTCCTGACGTTTTTGGCGCTCCTGACGCTCCTGACGCTCCTGGCGCTCTGACGCTTTTGCCGCTCCCGACGCCCTGACGCTCCTGACGCTCCTGACGCCCCTGACGCTCCTGACGCTCCTGACGCCCCTGACGCTCCTGACGCCCCTGCCGCTCATGCCGCCTGGAGCGTCAGGGGCGTCAGGAGCGCCAGGAGCGTCAGGGCGTCAGGAGCGTCAAAGCGTCAGAGTGCCAGCGCTTTGTGGGCCACCGCTGCGCCACCACTCGTTTTTTGTTGTTGAGCTCTCATTATTGAAAATGTAATCGATGCCCCCTCCGGGGCAAGTTTTTTTTCAATTGAAGCGCCTTTCCTGGGGCTCGCAGCCTGGTTTGTATCACGGAGCGTCTAAGGTCTCAGAATTATGTTGTTGGGCCCCGGTTTGCAACAACAGTGGCTCCCGCCTGATATCTTCTCAGAATTTATTTCCAACTCGCGCTTTCGCGTGGGACGTCCTCACAGTTTATATACATGAATCGCGCTCTCGCGTGGGACTCCTTCGCAATTTATTCAGGCGCCGCGCCCTCGACACTCACGAGCCACGCTTTCCTTGTGGATTTCCTCACGATTCATTTGGGAATCGCGCAGTCGCTTGAGATTTCCTCGCGATTCATGCAGGGCGCACGCTTCAGCAACCCGCATGCTGGACCTGGCCGCCTGGGCTCGCCTTACCGACCCGCTCGTCAGGGTCTACCCGCCCGACCTGCCCGTCCGGTTCTGGCAGGTGTCTTCTGCCTCTAACCCCCCTCCTGCTACTCTCTCTCGTGCTCCATCCTTCTCCCTCCCCCTTGTCCCTTCCTTCCATCCGTCCTCTCTTCCCCTGCCTCAGTGGCTGCGCGTAATACACGTTGCAGTTAAGAAAGGTGTACCCCCTAAGGGGGTACGATCGAAAACGAAGAGGACGGGTATCGAGGGTTTTTGATATACGTGTTGGATGGCACGGGAACCGTTCAGAGCGAACAGTCTTAGAATGATGACTGTTGTCGTCGTCGTCTTTCTTGTTGTTGCTGTCGTTGTCGTTGTCTTTGTCTTCGTCTTTGTCGTCGTCTTTGTCGTCGTCGTCGTTGTTGTTGTTGTCGTTATTGGTGTTTTTGTTGTTTTTGTTGTTTTTGTTGTTGAACATTATTACTTCTAAAGAATAATTATTGTTGGGACCCCTGGTGCGCGACCCCCCTCCAAAACCTAGGCCGCAGCTACATTTTCATCATTTTTTAGCGAAAGCTTCAGAAAAGTGAATTATTACCGGATCCGGTTGTTTTGTTGTACTCCGTTTTCCCTTGCAAAAAACACTATAAAATGAAAATTCTTGTTCTTACTTGATCAAATTGCAAGAATCCCTTGCAAAAAATAAGGTAAAGTGGACATTCGTGCGCGCAAGACGAAATCCTTCCAAAACCTTAGGTTTCGTAACGATTTTAACATAAAAACATCAAAAACCCAATGGTTTTTTAAGAAAAAATTGTCAAAATGTCCTTCCGCGCGCGCTGTCCGAATCCCACAAAACCAATGGTTTTTCAACATTTATGTTACATGAGCTCGCGCGAGCTACTTTTTCTTGTTCTAACATAATCAAATTTCAATAATCCCTTGCAAAAAATAAGGTAAAGTGGACATTCGCGCGCGCAAGACGAAATCCTTCCAGAACCTTAGGTTTCGTAACGATTTCAACATAAAAACATCAAAAACCCAATGGTTTTTCAAAAAAAAATGTCCAAATTTCATCCCGCGCGCGCTGTCCGACTCCCACAAAACCAATGGTTTTTCAACATTTATGTTACATGAGCTCGCGCGAGCTACTTTTTCTTGTTCTAACATAATCAAATTTCAATTCCCTTGCAAAAAAAAGTAAAGTGGACATTCGCGCGCGCAAGACCAACAAAAAACACGACGATCTCAGGAACTTGCCCCAAAAATGTGACCAACTCCGCTCTCTCTGTCTCTCTCTCTGTCTGCTCTCTGTCTCTCTCTCTGTCTGTCTGTGTCATGTATTGTATGTCACAATTGCAGGATGCTGGGCACACGCGCGCCCCGAATAAGTGACCAAGTTCTGTGGGTGTGTACCCCACGCCAGTGTAGTAGCCACGGTCGTCCGCACGCCACGAAGTGAAGTGTCCCAACGTCATAGGGCGGGAAGCTGGGTTTGGGTGGTCGCGAAGAGTCGTTTGGATATTTGGTAGAGCTTGAACTGCCCCCCCACGAAGTGGGGGTATTGTCTCGCGTCGCATGAAAACCCTGGCACTGGTGAGAACACTGAGCGTTCGGGTAAAATGATTGTTGTTGTTGTTGTTGTTCTTGTTGTTGTTGTTGAATTCTCATTTCTAGATAATAATTCTAGTTGATCCCCCCTGCCCGGTAACCGTTGTATTTTCTTATACAGAGACTTCGGCCAATACTCGCACCGTGTTGTTCTTTGCAAGGGGAAGTCAAGTGTCACAAATTTGGTCCCGTGGCCCCCGGTTTACAACAACAACGGCTCCCGCCTGATACTTCCACACAATTTATTTCCAAATCGCGCTTTCGCGCGGGGCTTCCTCACAATTTATACATGAATCGCGCTCTCGCGTGGGACTTCCTCTTCCTTTCAATTCATTCAAACGCCGCGCCCTCGACAATCATCAATCACGCTCTCGCTTTCCTCACGGTTTATTTGGGAATCGCGCTATCGCTCGAGATTTCTTCGCGATTCATTCAGGACGCACGCTTGAGCAACCCGCATCGACGGTTTGGGATACACCTATTGAGTGGTATGCGAGCAGATACGAGCGAACAGTCTTAAACCCTTGTCATCATTGTTTTTGTTGTTTTGTTGCTTTTGTTGGTGTTGTTGGTATTTTTGTAGTTTTTGTTGCTGTTGTTTTTGTTGTTGTTGCTGCTGCTGTTTTCGGCCTCCGGGGGCCCTCGCTTGGCCCTGGGACCTTCTAAGAACCATTTAGGATGAATAACCGATCCCTGGGAAGGTGTCGAGACCCCCCGGGGTCGACGTTATGAGCCAATCATGATGTCGTGGGTCGCGTCGCGTTGACGAGAAGGTTGGGTCAAGTCGGGTCTCTGGGGCTTCTGCCCCCGCCGCCGCCGCCCTTTGACGACGACGGCGACGACGACGACCACGACGACCACGACGACGACGACGACGACGACGGCGACGACGACGACGACGACGCCGACCACGGCGACGACCACGCCGCCGCCGCCCTCGACGACAACGACGACGACGATGACGACGATGACGACGACGGCGTCTGCCCCCGCCGACGACGACGATGACGACGACTCTGACGAGACGACGGCGATGACGACCACGTCGACGACGACGACGACGACGTCGACGACGTCGACGACGACGACGCCGACCGCGACGACGACGACGACGATGGCGACGACGACCACGACGACGACGACGACGACGACGACGGCGTCTACCCCCCCCGCCGTCGCCCTCGACGACCACGACAACGACGGCGGCGACGGCGGCGACGACGACCACGACGACGCCGACGACGACCACGACGACCACGACGACGACGACGACGGCGACGACGACGACCACGACGATGACCACGACGACGACGACGGCGACGACGACGGCGACGACGACGACGCCAACCACGACGACGACGCCGCCGCCGCCGCCCTCGACGACGACAACGACGACGACGATGACGACGACGACGACGACGGCGTCTGCCCCCGCCGACGACCACGACGACGACGACGACTCTGACGAGACGGCGACGATGACGACCACGTCGACGACGACCACGACGACGACGTCGACGACGACGCCGACCACGACGACGACGACGATGGCGACGACGACGACGACGACGACGGCGTCTGCCCCCGCCGCCGCCCTTGACGACCATGACGACGACGGCGGCGACGAGGACGACGACGCCGCCGACGACGACGACCACGACGACCACGACGACGACGACGACCACGACCACGACGACGACCACGACGATGACGACGACGACGACGGCGGCGACGACGACGGCCACGACGACGACGACGCCGACCACGACGACCACGACGCCGCCGCCGCCGCCCGCGACGACGACCACGACGACCCCGACGATGACGACGACGACGACGATGGCGTCATTTCCCGCCGACGACGACAACGACGACTCTGACGAGACGACGACGATGACGACCACGTCGACGACGACGACGGCGACGACGACGACAACGGCGACGACGACGACGACGATGCCGTCCACGACGACCACGATGATGATGGCGACGTCGACGACGACGACAACGACGGCGTCTGCCGCCGCCGCCGCCGCCCTCGACGACCACGACCACGACGGCGGCGACGACGTCGACGACGCCGGCGACGACGACCACGACGGCGACGACGACGTCGACGACGCCAACCACGACGACGACGATGGCGGCGACGACGACGCCGACGCCGACGACGACGACCACGACGACCACGACGACGACGACGTCGACGACGACGACGACCACGACCACGTCGACGACGACGACGGCGACGACGACGGCGACGACGACGACGACGCCGACCACGACGACGACGACGCCGCTGCCCTCGACGACCACGACGACGACAACGACGACGACGATGACGTCGACGGCGACCACGACGACCACGACGACGACGACGACCACGACGACGACGACGACCACGACGATGACGACGACGACGACGGTGACGACGACGGCGACGACGATGACGACGCCGACCACGACGACGACGCCGCCGCCGCCCTCGACGACGACGACGACGATGACGACGCCGACGACGGCGTCTGCACCCGCCGACGACCACGACGACGACGACGACTCTGACGAGACGACGACGATGACGACCACGTCGACGACGACGACGACGACGACGGCGACGACGACGGCGACGACGACGATGCCGACCACGAAGACGACGACGACGACGATGGCGACGACGACGACGACGACGACGGCGTCTGCCCCCGCCGCCGCCGCCCTCGCCGGCGCCGACCACGACGACGACGGCGGCGACGACGACGACGCCGACGACGACGACGACCACGACGACCACGACGACGACGATGACCACGACGACGACGACCACGACGATGACGACGACGACGACGCGACGACGACGGCGACGACGACGACGCCGACCACGACGACAACGCCGCCGCCGCCCTCGACGACGACCACGACGACGACGATGACGACGACGACGACGACGGCGTCTGCCCCCGCCGACGACCACGACGACGACGACGACCCTGACGAGACGACGACGGTGACGACCACGTCGACGACGACGACGACCACGACGATGGCGACGACGACGCCGACGCCGACCACGACGACAACGACGACGACGACGGCGACGACGACGACGACGGCGTCTGCCCCCGCCGCCGCTGCCCTCGACGACCACGACGACGACAACGACGACGACGATGACGACGACGGCGACCACGACGACCACGACGACGACGACGACCACGACGACGACGACGACCACGACGATGACGACGACGACGACGGCGACGACGACGGCGACGACGACGACGACGCCGACCACGACGACGACGCCGCCGCCGCCCTCGACGACGACAACGACGACGACGATGACGACGACGCCGACGACGGCGTCTGCCCCCGCCGGCGACCACGACGACGACGACGACTCTGTCGAGACGGGTAGGATGACGACCATGTCGACGACGATGACGACGACGACGGCGACGGCGACGACGACGTCGACGACGACGCCGACCACGACGACCTCGACGATGGCGACGACGACGACGACGACGACGGCGTCTGCCTTCGCCGCCGCCGCCCCCGACGACCACGACGACGACGGCGGCGACGACGACGACGACGACGCCGACGACGACGACCACGACGACCACGACGACGACGACGACCACGACGACGACGACCACGACGGCGACGACGACGTCGACGACGACGACGACGGCCCCCTGCCGGGCAGGCCTTCGCCGTCCTCGTCGGCTCCCCGGAGCCGCCCCGGCGCCAGCGGCCCCGCTCGGCCGAGGCGCGGGGCGTGCCCCTGCACGCCCGCGTGGGCGGTGCGCTGGCGTTCGACCTGCGCGGCTTCCGGGAAGCGCTGGTGCGCGCTGGGGGGTCGGCGCCGCCTGTCGGCGACCACGAAATGGGGGCGGCGAGCGAGGGAGCGAGGTTGGAGTTCAAGGTTCGATGTTTTTTGGCGTTTTCTTTGGTTCTCGGCGGTATTCGGCCTCGGGATGCTTGCCAGGAGCTGTGCCTCGCCGAGGGCGTTTCGGGAGTGCCCGGATTGTCTCGAACGACCGCCGGAGGCTCGAGTTATGACCCGAAAACCAAGCTCGGTGGCGAGCGAGGGGGGGAAGTGAGAAGGAGAAGGAGAGGGCTTCTCAGATGGCCTCCAAGGCCTTCTGAGAAGTGTTCAGTCTGTGTCTTCGGGGAAGGCTTCGGCAACTTCTCAGAAGGCAGGGGGACTTCCGAGCCTTCTGAGAAGGCCCGCCCCTGCTCACTTCCCCCGGGCTCGCCGCCGAGGTACGCCTGTGGCTTGCGATCTGCGTCATTGGGGCTTGGGGGGAACCACGTTGCCCTCGTGGGGCCTCCTTGGGGCGCGGTGGAGAACTCTGCCGAGGCCCCCTCGTCCGCCCTCCAGTGTACGGTGTGCAAACCACACCCTTTGCAAACCACACCCTTCGCAGTCGTCGAGTTTCACCGATCTCCAGCCCTACAACGTGTTGACAAAAGTCAAGGAGGTTCTTCTTCGTTTTCGGCGTCTGGGGGCCGTCGCTGGTCCTCGGAACCGTCGCAAAACGATACAGGATGAAAAGCCAGCCCTGCGGAAAGGGCGACGCTTCCGGGGAAGCGCTGGCGCGCCAGGGAGAAGGCGGGAAGGAGGAGGAGGAGGAGGAGGAGGAGGAGGAGGAGGAGCCAGCGAAGAGGAGGAGGACGAGGAGGAGGAGGAGGAGGAGGCCAGATCTCGGCGGTTTGCGGATCTCGGGATACGTTCCAGCAACTGCGCATCGCCGAGAGCGTTCTGGGGGTGCCCCGATCGTCTCGAACGGCCGCGGGAGGCCCGAATTGTGGCCCGAAAACCACTGGGGACGTGGATTGGCCAGGAGGAGGTTGAGTCGGGGGCCTCAGTGGTGATTTGCGGTCCGAAAGGCTAAGGGGGTCGGCATCGCCTCACCGATCCCCATCCCAGATCCGATCGATACGATTCGATATCGGTTCCAACCAGCTCGATCCGACTCGATTCAGTATTCCGACTGCCTGATGCTGCTCGATGCTTGCATGGCGTCGTTGTGCATCCTGGCGCAGCCGGTCCGATTCGATTTCGACTCCGTGCCGATGCAGCCCGAACCGACGCACTTTCCGATCCGATCCGATGCTGACCGATCCTGCCATCTTTACTGGGCCATGGTTTTTCAGCCCCACAATCACAGAAGGAAAGGTACCGATGCCGGTACACTTGCCTCGTTTTCGCTTTCTTCGGCCTCCCCAGAGGCCCTTGTCGCCACGGCTGGATTCGCCTCGAAATCCTGGTCAGAACGCACCCCAGGAGAGGTCGGAGGAGTGGCAGTATCGGTATGTTTTGGTTTCTCCACGCCAGTCCGACCCCAGGGGGGTTAGGTCCCGAAAAACCCGAAGGGAACAGCAGAATTACATCCCCACAAGGGAGGGTCTCCCTTTTCTCCCTTTACTTCCGTTTCCCGTTTCTACCTTTAATGTGTCCTTGCAGTTTTTTTCCAGCCATGCAATTTTGATTGGCGTGGGGGGGAAAGGACGGGGCGAGTCTCTCCAGGTACACTTGCGCTTCGCGTTGTTGATGCTGCGTGATGGTTTGTACGTAGTTTGTGCACTTGCTGGATTGTGCACTTCATCGACAACTCAGCGGCCTTGTCGTGTGTAGTGCGGGGGTACTCCAAGAAGCAGGACCTCGCCCTGATCGCGGGCCAGTTGTGGTTCGAACTAGCAGAGCGTTCTGTGTTGTGTCGCGCTGAATACGTGCCGTCGAAAATCAGTCTGGCTGACGGTCCCTCGAGGGATGAAGTGTCTTCCCTGCTGTGCAGTGGCGCTCAGGAGGTGCTGACATTCGAGTGGCCACAGTTCAGAGGTGATCTTGGCGGGTGATTGAAGAGCGTGGAGTTGCACCTGCTAGTGTTGGGAGGCCAGTGCCAACAAAAAGGGACAGGAACACAGTTGTTGATCATGGTAGTTGTCTGCCATCAACGTTGTCGTCGTTCCTGCAGAGCCTGGTGCTCGCATTGCTGTCGTAGTGGCTCACGAGAGCCGCGTTGTAGCCTCTGTGGTTCAGGAGAGCCGAGGTTTGGCGTGTGCCGCCATCTGGTGCGCGGCGCTGGTCGCTCGTGTGGGGCGTACCTCGCCAGTTGTACGCCGCAGGGCATTGGCACCCACGGTCCTTGCAGTTCATACACGGCGTGCGCCGCCATCATTGTCCTCAGACCTATTAAGGTTGAGGTCTGGGTTGCTGTTGTAATGGCTCACAAGAGCCCGTTGTGCTCCCGTGTGCGCACCTATTCAGGTGGGGTGCCACCCCCAGCGGGGCCGCAGCAGCGACTGTTTGCCTGGTGTGAGCGGGGCCCCTCTCTCCCTTAGTGCTGCTAGCACGAAAATCGCTGTCGTCACACATGCTGAAGTTATTGTTCTTCTAGTTGCCGTAGTGGCCCATGAGGGCCTGTTCCGCTCGCGAGAGCTTGTTCCTATGGTGGTGTGCCACGTGCACCTGTGCCGCAGCAGCGGCGGTGTGCCAGGCACTAGCTTGGCTGTTGCCATTTTTCGTAGTATGGTTCGCAAAAGGATGTCTTTGTCGTGGACCGCGAGGGTCTGTAGACCCCGAGCGTTCGCCCGTCCCGGCTCGAGGCGGGCGCGGGTCTTGCCTGTCCGCCTCGAGGCGGGTCTGTCTGTGGTTGTGGCGCGGCACGAGCCGCGGTACGTTGGGTCTTGCGATCACGTGCTTTCCGAGGAGGTCGGAGCGGCCAATAGGTCGGACCAGCCATGGCTGCCATCACGAGCCTTTTCACACGCAAGACGTGTCATTCGGGTGCTGCCGCGAGGCGGGTAGTAGAATAAACGCAAAAGCGGCACGAACCGCCCGTTGGATTAGTCCCAGCAGGAGCCGCGGCAACAACTAAAACGGCAAGGGAACACTTCAATTGATGCACCCCCTTCTCGTTCTTTCCTCTCTCTCCTCCTTCATCCTCTTCCTTCTTTCTTCCCCCTTTTCTCCTCCCTTTTCTCCTCCCCTTACTGTTCTGCACTTTTGTTTGACAGCACTTCCGAAAGACAATCACACTTCAGTTGACGTGGACATGCGCACCCGGCACGGGTCAGCGTTGACATGCGCACCCGGCACGGGTCAGGCGTTGACATGCGGCATCGAGGTATTTCCCCGGCACGAGTCGGGGTGGCGTGCGCCGAGGGGCCACGAGACGCCTGAATACAATATTCACTCGGCCCCATAGGAACAACCCCGCGTGTAGGGTCTTGGCACGAGCCCGGTTGTTATTCACGTGTGCTTGTCATCATTCCCACCCCTCGCACTCGGTCCTTCCCGCCCCCCCTCTTATCATTGCTATAGTCGATCGGTCGTCGGTCAGGCGTGCGTTGCGGCTCGCACCAGTAAACCACTTGGTCGTCATGGAGTCTGGAGGTGTACGCACGTTCAGGGGCTTGCGGCACGAACCACGCGCCGATTTTTGTCCCAAACCTCTTTCATTTCCTTTGAATCATCTTCGTCATCATCGTTTATCTGTTCTTTCATACTTGTTCATCTCGATTGGCACTGCAACCCAAGTGCAAGCTGGGCGATCCCACGAAGTGGACAGTTTGGGAGCGGCACGAGTCGCTTCAGAACACGTTTGTTGTTGCAGGGATGCCGCACGGCGCGGGTTGCACAACGAGTGCTTGGCACGAGACGTGCCGAGCGCAAGGGTACATGGCGCGCAACATCACGCACTGGGCCCCTGTGGGTCGAGCAGGCCGTGATCTGGTGTGGCATGCGTACCGCCCGCAGCCGCGGTTGGCGCCAAATACTTCGCGCAGCAATGAAGCCGTTAATGCCGGTCACATTCAGTAGGCACCAGCTTCTGGCAGACGCCGTTGATGCCACGAATGCGACCAGAAAAGCTTGCGCTCCTGGATCTTTCAGGCCGGTCACGCTGGAACACACCGATGTTGGAGTGCAAGGCTGCAAGGCCCAGGTGCATTTTCAGCATCTGTGAGGCCTGCGGCCCCGCCAGAGGCCACTCGGCAATCCTTGTTGTCCACCAGTGCGCCCCGTGAGGATCAGCAGCCCCAAGGGGAGCATACTTGCAATTGGTGGCTCTGGAGGATATTTTGTTTTCCAGACGCTGAATGTACGGGTTGGGTGGTGGCCCGCTGCTTGGAACAACTCTTGGGAGAGGACCAGGTCGCAGCCACCGTCAATAGGGTGACGTTTGCGAGCCGCATGGCCGAAACTGGCTTGGGGGACCTGGCTGCGGCAGGAGGGCCCCGTAAGATGATTCGTGTTCTGAGCGCAGCATCCCAGAACGCACCAGACATCTTGGCCGAACAAACGCAAATATTCATGATGTAGACAATCAAATAATCTCTTCCTACGTACGCGAGCGGCATCAGGTGCTGGGCGGCATATTGCGATGCTGCCTGTGTTCGGTCCCACTTCCCGGCCTCGGAGAAAAACAGCGCTGGGCTTCGCAAGCGTGTTTGCTAGTGGTGACATATTCTACACATACTTGAAACATCCCAGGTGGGCGCGCCGCTTTCTTCGCGTGCCACATGACTGGGGCACCAGCGCGCTGCAGCAGGTCCGGCGCGGGGCTCGGAAGGCTGCCCCGGCCCCCAAGCCGCGCTAGGCTGTGCAGGCGCCCTGCGCGAGGATTCTTACCCGCGCGGCCGAGGAAGAGGGAGATATCGACCAGGCTGCGCTGATTGCTGTGAGTCGTCTGCCCCCAGATCCACGGTGAGCGCTCTGCGGTCTCCTGCGCTGCAGGGGAATTGGTGGTTGTGTTAAACAAGCGCAAATCCCTTCGTGCTCCCACCACGCTTCGTCGGACGTGCTGTTGCGCTTCTTCGGGGCGCTTGCTGTTCGCATACCACTGGATGAAGAAGGCGCTGGCTGTGGCTGTAGTGGAAAAACTAAACTCGATCGTCACCAAGACCCGAGATCAGTTCGTGAATGACCTTCGAAGGCGCGCCACTGCAGCGGGCATCGTTGACGGCGG